TTATTTTCATTCTACCAAGAACAACTAAAAACCAAGAACACCATACTTTACTTCTTCGAAAATTCAACCATCACATGTCACCAATGGGCAAATTTGGAGCACCACCAATTTGATTTCCCTACGACAACTAATCTAGAGGAATGACTCTACCAAAACCTTTTGGGAAATAAAAATTAGTTCTTCACCAATATCTATTGGCATATCTGGAAACTTAGGAATGACCTCATATTTAACAACAAAGATTGGTCCTCATGACTCTAGCCCACAATTTGACTTCCCTACAACAACTAATCTAGAGGAATGACTCTACCAAAACCTTTTGGGAAATAAAAATTAGTTCTTCACCAATATCTATTGGCATATCTGGAAACTTAGGAATGACCTCATATTTAACAACAAAGATTGGTCCTCATGACTCTAGAACATGATAAAATCATCCCTACCCAACTATACATTCAACATTCCCTATCATCACTTCAAACAGACAATGTCAAACTGTTAAATGGCACCCACCTTAAGGAATTTTTGTAAAACTTAACACTAAATGTTAACACACATGGTAATTTGAGGAAAGTTGGCTATGGTGGTATTCTTTAGAACTCAACTAGCTAGTGGCTCAAAGGGTTCATGGGAGCTTGTGGTATTAATTCTTCACTTGCGGCTGAACTACATACTATCTACAATGTGTTAAAGATAATTCAACAAAATGGCTATATATTTCATATGTAAGTTTGATTATGAGAATATTATTAGATTAATTACAATGGTGTAAATGAAAACCATTCTCATGCACCCTTTGTTGAAGCAATCTAATCACTTATGGATTAGGATTGGAAAATCCTCCTCCAATACATTTTTCAAGAAGGGAACTCTTGCACAAAATAATTGATAAATAAAGGAATTGTGGAAGATCACTTTCTAAAAATCATTATATCATATCCAACAAATTTATATTTTTTGTTATTTGGTGATGCTATAGGAACAATTGCTATCATGGAACATTAGTCTCTATGTTATTTTGTTTATATTTTTCTAGTGATATAAAAAACCACTTAACTTTTATAAATATAGCATGAACTACATATTATACATAATTGTTTGAGTTAATTGAATTTTTTTAATTCCTTATCTAATGTTAATCTTTTATTTCATTTATAATGTTAATTCAGTTTAAAATTAATAAATTACAATCTTATTTAATAAAAAATTATTTTTTAATAAATTAATGATATAATTTATTATTTAATATATTTTTATACAATAAATATAAACCTACAATAAAAACATATTAAATAATCAAATTTATATTTAATAGATGAAAAAATGTAGTAAAAACTTAAATTGAAAGAATATATATAATCTATTATTTAATATATTTTTATACAATAAATATAAACATACAATCAATTTTTTAAATTATTTTTTAATTATATTTTCTCTTTTTAAATACACTAATAATGTTATATTATCCATTATAATATTATAAAATTTTAATTATTTATTGCATAAAAAATATATTAAATAATATATTCACTAATATTTTATTATATTTTATGTTTTTAGTATATTTTTCATTTAATAAATTTATATTTATTATTTAATATGCTTTTTATTCAATAAATATAAATATACAATAAATTAATATATTAAATAATATATATACGCTAATATTATACTATATTATTCATTTTTTGTTACAATTTATTTTGTATTGACTTATTGTATAAAAGATATATTAAATAATAAATTATATAATTAATTTATTAAAAACAATTATTTTTATTAAAGAAATTTATTATTTATTAATTTTAAACTAGATTAACATTAAATATAGAATTAAAAAATAATTAACAAAATAGTTAAGTTATATATAATAATTAACTAAATTAATAATTGTTCAAATTATACTTATGAAAAGTTAAGTAGTTTGATAATGGTCTGAATGGTGAGTTTTTATAAGGAAAGTTATTAGTTTTAATCTTTAAAAGGTCTATTTTATTTATTTTCTAAATAAATTTTATATCTTCTTGTTATGTCATTGTCATGTCATTTGTTTGTGTCAATATTTTAATGTCATTTTATCGATTTATGTAAATTGTCATACCATTAATTCATGTCAATATTAATGTTATATCATCTTTTATTTGACAAAAGAGACTAAAATTACATAATTTAAAAATTTAAAGTATTGGAATTGTGTAATTAAAAAAAAAAAAGAGATCAAAATTGTAGATCAAAGATTATTGGGAGACCAAAAGTACAATTTTGACTATTTTTTTATTATTAAGACTTTATTGAGCTTAATGTATGTTATTGTTGTATTTTAGAGATATTTCAATAGGTTCAAAGTCTCATGTTGATGTTGTACATATTGTCCATCTTTACAATTAATTATGAACCATGAACCATCTTTCAATAAAAATCTTATATAATCACAAATATTATTAGTTTGAGACGTATGATATCACTATCTTCAAAAACTTATTGGTATCCTAAAATATATCAAATTCTTTATAATAATAATTGGATTAGTAGAATTAACAAGTTTAGGGTTATATTAACTGAATTGTTATATTTCATATAAAATATTATTTTCTCAAATCAACCAAGACTAAGTCAATTGATCAAGAGAATAAATTTAAAACAACTAAAAATAAAAGGCAAAATCAAAAGGATAAAATGAAACTCACTCTAAAAGATTAAACCAACGAAACTAAATTAAGTAAAATACTAAATTAATTTATAAATATTTTAAACCTGAATAAATAAATACATTAAACATTTTAAAATATCATTCAAAATATGCATAGAATATGTGGGGGATAAATTTGAAGCATTGGTGGTGTGAGAAATATTTGTTTGTAAAAGAAAATAAAGAAATGGGAACAAGTGGAAAGGAAACAAAGGACGTTGAAAAGTGTGTGTGGAAGAAAGAGCGGTCAGCGTAGAAAAGAAAACGTGTTTTTCTCTGTCGACATTAACAAACAGACATTTTTCATTTCGTCATCACAATATCTTTCTGATTTTCTTGTCCTCCTTTTATTTCTACATTTTTCATTTTTCTCTTTTCTCCAAAATCACCTTTCATGTGGATGCCCCTATAATATTATTCCTGCTACCTACAACATGCAAAACAATGGTTTTTTCATTTCATGTTATCCGAAAATTTGTGCAATGTCCACTGTGATTTTGTGAAAAAACAAATGGTAGGATTAAAAAAAGGATTGGTTTTTTTTTTTTTTTTTTTGGATAATCATAACATTAGTATGAAGTATTTATCTATTGTTAGAAATGATGATTAATTTTTGTTCCTAACATGAAGGATATTTTATGAAATTGGATGGGCTTTCTTGCGTACAGCATGTTGGACTGTTGGGTTTATGTTAGACTTTTGTACACTCTCCCTGTTTGCTAAATACATTCCTCTTTTCCTTTTATAACTATATTAACTTTTATTATCAAAAGGCTAAATACCTATTTTGTCCCTTATAATCTTTTTTTGTTTCAATGTAGTCTCGCTTTTATTTTTGGTCTCAATTTGGTCCCAAACTAATTAACGGAGTTAACTATTGGCCACGTGGATGTCACCTAGATGCATGTGAATGCCACGTGGATGAAATTTTTTTAAAAAACACCTGGAACCAGAACGGCCCGTTCTGAAACCGGAACGGGCCGTTCTGGATGCGCTTTTAGTGTGTTAATTTTGTATCGGAAACGGACCGTTCCAAATGCAAAATTTACACACCAAGAGTACACCAGAACGGCCCGTTCTAAAACTGAGAATAGAATATTATTTATTAATTTTATTAAAAAATGTAATAATTTTGAAAAATATTTTTTTATGGTAAAATTTTTAAAATTACTTATTTTTATAAAATACAATTGCCTTATAAATAGAGTAATAACTTTTTATTTTTCTCTTTCTATCTGAAGAAATATTTAAGTGTCACTTTATAATTTTTTGTAACTTATTATATTAGATATAACAACATAATTAAAATATAATTAATAATGTCATTTCATCATTTACTGTATAGTGTCATTTCATTGACAATATAGTGTCATTTCATCCTTTACTGTATAGTGTCAATTTGGTAGTAAGTGGTTCATCCTTTAGTGATACATTGCATTGTCCTTAATAATACATTATATAGTCTAACTGTTTAGCAATTGAAGTTATCAATTTTCATTGACAATATTACCAAATTTAGTGTTTGAAATGCTTTGTACCTTGGGTCTTTTTCCTTCCATGATTCACAACCGTGAACTATAATCATTGATCGTTTATGTTTAGCACTCTGGAACCAGAACGGCCCCAGAACGGGCCGTTCTAGTTGCACTTTTAGTGTGTTAATTTTGCACCTGGAACGGGCCGTTCCGGATGCAAAATTAACACACCAAAAGTGCAACCAGAACAGCCCGTTCTGGTTCCAGGTGTTTTAAAAAAAATGTCATCCACGTGACATCCACCTATGCATCCACATAACATCCACGTGACATCCACCCATGCAACAGTTAACTCCGTTAAAGAAATTTGGACGGAAATCCCACATTGAAACCAATTAATTTATTAGGGACTAAATTGAAACCAATTAATTAGTTTAGGACCAAATTGAGACAAAAAATAAAAATAGGACTACATTGAAACAAAAAAAGATTATAAGGGACCAAAATAAGTATTTAGCCTTATCAAAAACACACTTCATAACAAAATTATCCTTTATATTAAAATATAAAAATATAAAAATTCTATTTTTTATACTCAACTTTATTTTTCTCTAAACGATTATTTGTTTTTTATTTTTCTCCTTTTTTTAATAAAAGAATATTACCTTAATTTTATTGTATCCTTCGCCATCAACGTATACGTTGTATTCAATGTCCACATTTTAGTCCCTATCATTTTTTTTTCCAAAGAGAGCACATAAAAAAAAACAAAATTTTATAGGGACTAAAAATAATAATATGTAATAAGAAATAAAATAAATTAACAAAGGCCATAATAAAAAAAAATTGAATTTTACAAAAATGATTTTAAAAATATAATTTTACAAGAATCAAAACAAAACAAAACAAAAATACCTGCAATCAATACTATTGAAAGTCACACCATAATCCGGCCCACAAAGATGACTTGTGTTCCAAAGAAAACGTTCTGAACTGTAGTTAGGTGCCTCCATATGAATTCTCTTCTTTTGACTTGGGCATCATTTGAAAACTTCTAGGCTAGTGTAGCAACAAAGATTAATTTCACCTAATGTGATGAGTGTGTCTCAATTTCCCCAACACGTGAGAAAAAAATTTAAGGAATATAAGTTATTCTGTGTCAACCAGAACAACCTTATATGGTTTGACTCAGTTTCACAACCTCCTTCAGCAAATGACTAACGGACTTCTTTACTTCATCAGGCACTACCAGCTGGGGGTGCACTGACTCTAAAGCATACAAAGTAATAACCTTCATTACTGTCATTAAATCCAAATTATTGGTGTCACAATGCCATACACTTTGATTAGCAAACTTGCATGATTGTTGCAATGAGCATCTACTGCAAACCTGATGGAAAAATAAAATGTAGATAACACAGGTATATTTTTCGTGTATAAATAAAGGGCAAAGAATATACCATTGATTTAATCCCTCAAGTATCATTCTCTCGTATTTAATCCCAAAAGTAATAAAATTATATAAATAGTCCCTAAAGTATTGTATATCCATCGATTTAGTCACTGAGTTGGTATATTTCACTAACATTTGGAGACTAATGGATGGATTTTGCACTACTTGAAGGACTATTTTTATTTTTATAATTTCTAATACTTCAGGGATTTTTTCATATAATTTTCGTACTTTAAGGACCAGTTGAGACGAGAGAGAGAGAGTTTTAGAGATGAAACTGAGAGTATTTAAAGGACAAAACTTCAATATGGTTTTTTTAAGTGTTCTTAATTTTGTTCTTTGATCAAAATGGGAGTTTAACCTTTGTGTCCAATATTGACTTATAATACAAACCTTTATTATACGGAAACTCTAATTCTGATTTAAGAACACTTAAAAACACTTAACAAAATATATTTAGCTTTTGTCCACAAATATATTAGAAAACATAGTGAAAGTACAATTGGTGCATGCTATGCCTTACAGTGTTTTCTGGAACTTCAAAAAACTTTCGCAGTCTTTTAGCAGGGAAGACAACACTTCTGACGGTGTTGGGGCAACCAAATACAGCCACTTGCTTCAGGGCACTTCCCGATAGCCATCTATCAATCCAATTTCATGCTAGAAATAACTAATTTGGGGAAAACTCTAAAAGATAAGCACTAGGAAAAAGAAATAAAAAATTTACCATGCTGCCAATCCAATTTCCAAACATATGACGTTACCAAGTTATATAAAGGGAAATGTAAATTGAGTCACTTGCAACTTTGCATACACAATGTCAACCATTAAGCTCACTAACATATTCTACTATCCACAAGCCATCAAATATGGAAAATGAACTCAGTCCTCAAACAAGATATCAGTCATCTTTTCCACACAACAATAAAATATTACCAAAATATTTGATAGTTAAAACCATTTTCTTGTGTTTGGAAGATCATATTAAACTGTTATTTCTGTTTTATATTCCCAAACATAACACATATCAATCCATGTAAAACCAATTAAAGCACAGGACCTTCAATAACTAACAAGATCTTAGCACTATATGCCCAATTATTACTACTATCAGGGAAACAACTCTTACGCTCAGTTATTTGGTTCCTAGGCAGTATCGGTTCTGGTCTCCTGCTCAGAAGAAAAAAGAAGAAATTTGCAAATTATTTACACCCTAATCCAAGAGGGAACTCATACTCCTTTTTGTAATCACTCGATCAACGGTGATTTTTATCATCTATACTCAAACAAAACAAAATGCACTTCATTGCAAATACACTTCAAGAGAAAACGTCTGCTAAAGGCCTCAAGCACAAGTGTTAAAGTAATTATCAAAAAGTGAAACCGCATTTGCATAAATATAAATTGAGGAATGCTTGCATACATTATATGTAACACTCTCTCTAATGAGTCTCTTTCATTATGACCAACAAAAATTTGTAATTTTCAATAAACTTCAATCAATAATAGAGAGTACTCAAAAAAGGAGTAAACACCCATTTTGATTCCAAATTTAGAAGACAATGAGCTTGTTTGGATATAAGCTATACACACTTTTGAGGACTTATCTACCGAAAATAAAGAGTATATCCTAGTAGAAAAACTCTCAAAAGTACTTCTAAGTTTGTATCCAATCAGGTTCAATTTCATATAAGTATATGAAACTACGAAATTGTAATATAAGTTTCAAAAGTGCAAATTGACAATCACATTGATCCAAAACTCAAAAAATCTTGTAACTAAAGTGATAATATTGATATACATGTACCAAAGTGACAATGAGTAGTAAAATTCAAGTACCCATTTGAGGAGACATATCACATTCCTAATTTCAAAGACTAATATGATAATATCATTCAAATTCAGAGACCAAAGTGGGTTTTTCCTCATTAAAAAAAGGGTAAGAGAGTGTTAGTATATATAAAAAAAAGAGTTCATTGACATAATAATCTTACTTGGCGATTTCTCGATTATCTCTTGCGAATTTGTGTGCAGCAAACTTGATATAGCCGAGGGCGAAGAAATTGGTGAACCAAGCAGGGTCGAAGCTTTTCATGCCGTTGGCGAAATTGGCGTCGTTAAAATAGCCCTTCTCGTGCAAGAACTGCGCAAACGTAAGCATATCGGGTGAAAGCTTTTTAACAGCCACGTTTTCTTTTGGCTTGGGTTGGTGATTGGTGAACACGGCGAATAAGGTTCTCACGGGAGTTTTCTCTTTGAAGGTCCTTATGTCTTGCTCTAACTGCCTCAGGTTGTTGCTCAGTTCTGTTGCGCTTTCTGGCGATGGTTCTTCGTCGGAGGGGGTTTTCTCCGAGAGGCCCACGGCTTCGGTGAAGAGGGCGTGGAGGGGCTGCTTCTTGGTGGGCCGGGTTTGGGGGTCTGGGCCTGATGGGGCTTTGGGTTGGGATGCGGTGGGCCTGTGAGGGGTTTTGAGTTTGAGGTTGAGGAGGGAATGGGTGCGGCGAGAGAAGAGGGTACTGAGGATAGCCATGGAGAGTGGAAGTAGAAGCACAGAATGGGAGAGAAAGGGAGGGTTTAAGCTTAGTTTACAGGGTTTTAGATGAAATTGGTGGCATCAACATCTCATCAATTATAAAATTATTAAGCCCATTTACTTGAATTTAATACATTTTTTTTTGTGAGTTCTAACAATTTTAACATATTATTTATCGATTGATAAGTAAATAGGAATTATTTTTAATTTTATTTAAATTATTTAAAATTATTTTTTTTTATTAGAGGCTGCTTAGATTTATCTTTAATTGTTTGTTCTTCGCTTGAGTGACAACCCACTCATCACATACTCACTTATTGAGTATAGTCACCTATCGATTGTCGTTGTCGCGACGAATATGATGTAGGTGAGGTAGAAGCTGTGCTCGCAAACAATGAGGTGGTGGTGGCTAAAAACAATGGTGAGTTTGGCACATGTGATGTAAGGAGTTAGGCCACAGGCCCTCTTGATGATGACATGGGGTTCTTATACAAGTTTAGAAGATGTTGATAGCAAAGTCCAATAGGGTTTCAGTGAAGGAAAAGGAAGATAAAAGAATCTCATTCATGTAGCTTCCTCACCAGACATAAGGTCCACTATTGTTGTCGGAGTCAATGTCCACTAGCAAGAAGTGTTAGGGGATTTGGGGCTTGTGTTTTCACCTAGTACTTATGCTTTCTCCCTCTTCATCACACACCTTCTCCTTTGTCACCCCAGTCTTGAACCCCTCTCCTTCTTCACCTTGACATCCTTCATAAAGGTTGTAGACACCCAATTTTGTCCGGGGGATATACAAACAAAGAAATGGATGTCTATTATCAAGGAAAGGAGCTCCCAATCATGGAAATATCAAGACATGACATGACGAGGCTAAAAGTTCAAAAAAAGCTAGTTTTAGTAGCCCGGAACGGGCTGTTCCAAAACTGGAACGGGCCGTTCCAATTTACAAAAAGTGCCTAAATCCTAAACTGGAACGGGCCGTTCCAAAATCGGAGATCAGCCGACATGGGTCTGGGTGTGCCATTTAATATTGCATCTTATGCGCTCCTGACATGCATGATTGCTCATGTTTGTGGTATGCAAATTTTGCCAGCTTTTGCTACACTTAAATTTGTACTCAGACGTACATGCTATCTTCAATCCTACTTTCATGGGTTCAATAGAGTTTTGTTATTATTTGATTATAAATGGCTTTAAGCTAATTAATAGGTTGTGATTCACAAAAAATTTGTATTATGAGTCGCGTACTTTTTGTGTGGATGGGTAGAATGGTCCTTTTGGATGCAAATAGTCAGACTTGCTTAGAAATTAGAACGCACTTTTCAAAAAATTACATATAGTTTGGAAAATTTATTGGGATGTTTTTGTTTCGCCGTTTAAGTTTGGGTGTTGGCGGGTTCAGAAGTATATAGATTGATAATCCTACGTAGAGAAATACAACTTTTATATAAAACAAAAATTGATATCAGATATCGGACTGACGATCCCTATCCTGTTCTTGTCAGACCTTGTTCCGGGTGATTTTATCCATGTTATCGGGGATGCTCATGTTTACCGCAATCATGTGAGACCTTTGCAGGAGCAGCTCCAGAACCAACCAAAACCTTTTCCGGTATGTGTGTAAATGTTTAAGGAAATCAATTGCTTTAGCGTAGATGCCCACAAAATATTTTCCATTATGCACTCGTATAAATTGCCTTTCCCTTGTTGATTACCTAAACTTCAATTCAGATTTTGAAGATAAACCCAAAGAAGAAAGATATAGATTCTTTTGTGGCTGCTGATTTCAAGCTCATAGGATATGATCCTCACCAGAAGATAGAAATGAAGATGGCTGTCTAGGAATCTTGTGAGATTCTCAATCCCTTCTTGAGGCTGTTATGCTTTCTGAAATGAGGCAAGTAATCTATTAGCCTGTTTGCTTTTACGTTTGAAAACTTGGACGTGATTTTGAGAAGCAACTATTAGTTGCTTTTGTTGCGTTATAACGTGAAAATAGGGAAAAACGTGGATCTCAAACGTATTACCAAACACGCACTATATCTTTGTTTCTTTCTTCATGATTTTATTTATGTAAAAGAGATTTCTGTATTATCTGGTTGGTACTTGTCACCTGGGCAGTGTGGCAAACCGAAAAGCAGATGGTTTGGATTCATTTTGAACTAGTTTTACTTGCTGATAAAGTAAGATCCGCCCTTAAAAAATTAAAACAGATGACGTAAGATTGGCTTTTCAAAAGCGGCCGCTCCGACCGCTATTGACTACTATGATTTTGAGACCCCTTTTCCTTGGACTAGGAATTCCTCCTCATCAGGTACCTTCTTTTTGCCATAAAGTCTGAAAATTTTACTTGGAATTCACTCTGACTAGAGAATTTTCCAAAGGTTGCAAGTGCTACATCAACATTGGTAATAGCATTTTCTGCATCTTTGGCAGTGGTGGAATATTACCTTCTCAAACGTTTCCCTGTTCCTTATGGTAAGTATTGATGAATGGACTTAACTCAAGGCATTTTAACAATATGTGAGAGCATGGTAATTTTTCCATGATGCAACAAGAGCATATACATAGTAATAGAGGATTCTACAAGAGCATACAGATAGCAATATATTATGGATTTTTGAATGATAAAGTTTGGATCATGTTGCAGCTCTTTACTTCGTAACTATAGCTAATGTGTGTATAAATTGTCTTTGCATTCATACTTTAACAAATATCATGCATCTTTTAGTTTAGCATATGCATTCATTTGAAATGGAAGGCGCACATAATAGTATGCAAAGATGTTCTCTAAACAAAAATCAATGAGAATGATATTCATTGAATTTCTCAAGTGATTTTGTAACTGACGTTGATGACTTTGTCGTCTAAGCTGGGTGAGTGCAAGGTTTCCTGAATGATGGTTTGGTGTTGTCCAGGCCTTTTGGTGTTGGCGAGCTTTGATAGGAGGTCAGCTCAGGCGTTTTGTTCTCGCGGCACATGCTTTATGGTGAATTCGTCGAAGGACGAGATCTGGTGGGACGCAGTGTGAAAGTACCGCTGCAGCAGAGTGTCTTTTGCTTGGTACGTTCCGCTGAGCTGCTCTACCATGAGTTTTGAGTCGCTGTTACAACTCACCTTCCGGGCTCCGAGGTCGCGGGCTAGCCTTAATCCCGCGAGAAGTGCCTCGTACTCCGCCTGGTTGTTGGTCACTTTGAAGCCAAACTTAAGGGATTGTTCCAGAGTGACTTGGTTTGGTCCCTCCAATATGATGCCTGCACCACCACCCTTAGAGTTGGAGGATCCGTCCACATGTAAGGTCCACACCTGAGGTTCCTCGGCAGTGGTAGGCGTGAGCTCGGCTACGAAGTCGGCCAGGCACTGGGCTTTCAGGGGTCCGCGACTTTCGTACTGGATGCCGAACTCAGACAATTCTACTGACCACGCAATCATCCGTCCGGCGAGCTCGGGCTTTCGCAGAATTTGCTTGATGGGGTAGTCGGTTTTGACTACCACCTGGTGACTCTGGAAGTAGGGTCGGAGACGCCAAGCTGCGGTGAC